AGTATTGTTTTCTAAAATATGTTTTTCATGATTATTATTCATTATTTTGAATAATCCCAAAACGTTGCAGGATAGCTAGTATCAATCATCTATCGAATTGTAGTCAATTTACAACCTATTGGCCATGAAACCAAGTCCTCGGTTCGATTCCTAGCGGGATCAAGTGTATACACTGCTGAGGAGTCCCATACTAGAAAGAAACAATTATTCAGTGCTCCCAGGTTCCAACTTTCCTCCAATTGATATCAATCCATGGTGAACACCAACTTGAAAAATCATCAAATCCCCACAAAACCCCCAAATAAAATTTACGAAAAACCAATGTTATCATTAAAAAAAATTTATTGAATTCACTATAGAAAGCATGAAAATCAGTAACTGGCTTACAATCCATTATATATTTAAATCTCTTTATTCTTATTTTCTCCTTACTTAATTCTTGTTTTGATGTGCATATCAAAAGATTGAGTTTTCTTGAAATCATATACCCTATAGGCTATTCATTGAAATTGTGCCTTAACCCTACATTAGTGATTTAGGAAGGGGAAAGAGTGATGAGAGTTCTACTGGGTATCTTGGATTAGCCTGTTTTTTGTGTTATTACTTTGTTACAAATTGGATACTCAAGTTAAAGTAAAGAATGCTGTACACAGATTAATCGAAAATGACGCAATCTAATTGGATACTGTTTCAAATTAAACTCACTACAGTCTTTCATCACAAATATTTAGTATTTACTAAATGGAAAATGAGCAATGGATATTAGTAATTTTCCAAGTGATTATTGAAGTCTACAATGGTTATCATTTTCATGATTTTTATTTTTATAGACAAATTATTGTACTGATTTCATTCTCATTCCATTTTAAATGATGTGTATAATACATTTAAGAAAAGGTTGAATGGAATCGAAATGATAAATCCTCTTGGTAATTGTAATTCATTTGCTTGTTATTAAAAACTGTACTTCTTTTCCATTGCAGTTATTAATCGTTAGTTTCGTTTAAAAACTTATTTATCTATGTGTTTTTTTTTCCCATCGTTTTCTGTTCCAAACCATTCACTTGAATACAGACAAAAATGTTAGCTTATCACTTCTCATTCATTTTATGTGTATTCATATTATTTTTTAGAATATTCGGAATAACTTACTTCACCCAGTACGACGTATGTTAATGTCAGATCGGGTTGAAGATATTTGGAATCAAATGATGAAACATTTTGAAACACATTCACGTTTCATTGTACAGTTTGTTAAATACATTCCAGGTGAGTATATACGGTAGTGTTTTGCTGTTAAAACTTAATTATCAATATACTGAAGTATTTCTTTTCGCTTCTAACTTACTGAATAGTTAGTGATTACTAGTACCATTTGGATGTTTGAATAGACTACTAGTAATTTCCTTTATGAGTTCAACTACCTGAATGAACACTGTCTCTAATACTTCACTGTAATATCGAATTGATTAGCTTACAGACAACTGTGCAGCATATAAATAGTATGTCTGAATTTTTCAGCATAATCTGGGTGGTGTTTAAGGCTATACCATCTCTCAGAGATAAGGAGAAGGTGATTGGAGGATGATGCGGGAATTTTCTCTGCCTGTCTTTGTATGTATGTTTAACTGCTTTGCAACTGCACAGGTTTTACCCCCAAGCGTGAAATCATTGAAAAAAACTGTTGACACATTAGTGAAATGCCTTTTTTTATATAGAAAATATATATGCTATCCAAGGCGAATTTCTAAGACGGATTTTTCATGTGACCCCCTAACTATAAAAAAAATTAAAGGCAAACATTATGTAGATGGATAAGTTTTACTTGAGTTTGTCCTCAGTTTATGATTACGAGCTGGTGGTGTGTTCAATGTGTAGAACCTGACAACAGTGCATCACTCCGATTAGTTATTATAGTTGAATGGTTCAGTGTAAATTTAAATATCTTCCAGAAAAAGAACCGGGGGGGGGGAAAATAGGGGGGTCTTATTTTATTTTCCAGGGACTTATCGAAGGTGAACAGATTTGTACTAATGACATCGATTTTGAGTTAACTTATTCTATATGGTAATGTGGTTGGTTGTGGCAGAGGAATCCAGGACGCGCGTTTCGTCCTATTTGGGATTCGTCCTGGATTCCTCTGCTAGTCAAAGCCAACCAAATTATCATGATTAACACTCAGGCAATATCGAGGCATCCGCATAGGAACCCATATGTGCCAGTAGTGGTCGAACTGTTCGATTCAATGAAAAAACGGAGAATTACAGTAATTATTCTGTGTGCATTAAGTATTTCAGTTTTGTTTATTTTTCAACATTTCGAAAACATGAAACACAATAGCTCCCAGTCAATAATGTGCAACTCAATAACATCATTTAACAGATACCAACTGAGCTTTAAATGTCTGTATTGAAATTTCCAGGTTAACTGAATCGTCATAGTGCTTCTGTATCATAACATATGTTTTGGTTGAAGATTTGACATATGATAGATTAAAAATGATCTGTGCGATGCAGCTGTATTCCTACACTTCCTTCACCTTAGTGCTTGGTCATATTATGCTATGTTAACTGAAGTTTGTTTGGGTGGGAGAGAGACTCATTGCGGCCAGATCAACACGTGATACAAGTCCATGAAGTCTAACTCTTCATCTAAGCTGAACAAGGAGGTAGTATAAGCTGCCTGTCTGGTTGGGGTCCTCAAAACAATAGAAACCAGTGATTGAACACTCTTCTCTTGATAACATATCCGAAAATCTGTCACAATCGTCTAGGTATATTCACTCTTCGACGTCTTCTGAAACTTGAATATTTCTACTAACTTTCATGTTTAAGATTATTTCATCTCTCACACACACGTTTTTCTACTCTAATTTCATTCATTTTCTACCCATGTGTTGTTTGCATGATGTTGTGAAATGTGACAAATCGAACTGATAAGCTTTTGTGCGAGGTTCTACACTGTTTTTATCTATCCGTTTTAAGTTTCGTTATATGCTTTGTCTGTTTTTCGTTTCTTCCTATAGCTTTCTACAAGTTTTGGTTGATTTTTTGTCTTCGCTTTTGTTGCCTACCTTAATTGATGTACCTACTAATGTGATATATCGTGAGTTTGCCCATTAGGCAGCAATACATACATCTTGTATTGAAAGTGTATGTCGTTTGGTTTGTGCTGTACACCGGCAGCTTTACAGGAATCGTAAATTTATTTAACTCACTAGCATACTATGATATTTCCTGATGATAAATAATATTTCCAACTGAAATATAACGGTGTCTTCTCTGTGTAACTTTAACATAAAACAAATAGTGTACACAACTCATTTAAAGACTTTCTCTCTCTCACACACACAGATGCACAGAAGTGTTACTTTGCACCTTTTAAAAACAAGCGTAAAAATTTGTCATTTAATTCACAATAAACTTCAGTTATAAAAGAAATGAACTGAAATCAGACTCTACACCGAATTGTATTTAGTTAGTTAGAATCATCATTATGATCACCATAGTAACGATGACTATGGTAATAATAATGCTTTTCAGATTAAGTATTCTAATTATTATTCTTATGAAAACCCGGTTTTTGACATACTGATTTACTGGACGTGCTAATAATATTGTTTACCTGTTTTCTATCATGTGTGTTTGTTTGTTCATATGAATCTATTTAGTATTATTGTAACCTCGTAAATGTGAAAGCGTTTCTATCAGTAAGATAAAACTTCAACATATATATATATATATATATATATATATATATATATATATATAATCTTGGTGTATGCGATGTTTCTAGTACTTTTATATAGCCGAAACTGTTGCTACTCTTTAGACATGGCTTTTTGTTTATTTTTCACTCCTCCGGTTCCTCTTAGTTTTTCTCCTCTAACTCTTTTGTTTACGTTTCCTACTTTCGTTAAAAACTATCTCTCTTGGATTTCATTTCATAATTCATGGTCAAAATAAGGGCGTTTCTGTTCTTAGCTGTTTTTTTTTCAATCAAACAGTGCGTACTCATACTATTCTTGAACTCTTCACATGTTTCAAAGTATCATCTTCCTAGTTGTGTAGCCTATCGGATCCTGTTACACTGTTTGTTTCTTGAATACGTTAAACCTTCAAGTAATACATTTTATTTCATTGATCAAGTGATAAACATCAGCCAAGTGACCAGGTGGGCAGTGATGATTTTCTGACTAAGAAGCTACATAAAGATGACAATATACATATCATATACGTATACGTATACGTCACATACTGACTGGTTGAAAATTTCGACCATTTGGATTTACATCAGTGCTTTACATACGTGCTTATCGTCTCGGATATTCACTTGTCAATCGGGAATTATCTAGTTGACTTGGACTTAGTCCTGTTAGGCGAAAACGCTGACAAAATACAAAGTCTTCTAAACGATTCGAGAAATAATCTGAGTATTTTCGCAATGATTTCTGCACATGTGATGCAGTAACTTCTTAGTTTAACGATAGGAAATGAAGTGGTGGAATGCGTTGAGGAAGTGTTGTTTGCCCTAATACACTGATTTTTGGTGAAATCTCAGCTGGTGTGCAAATCGCTTACTTGTCATTTATCACATATGACCTCTAGTATCAGCGAGATATCGAAAGAGTATATTGGGTAGTAGTCCGCTCTGACGTATTTTACAGCTGTGAAACATGGCTGATAAATTCACAAGACATGAAGAAGCTATAGATTTTTTTATCACAGTCGTCTTCATAGCGTCGCTCGCATGTGGTACAACCACTATTTTACCATTGTTACGGTTAGGTATGTTGCTAACCAATTCATTACATGAAGTTTTGAACCTACATCAATCGATGTGACTCAAATATGTTCCCAACAATCCAAGGCAGGACCTACTTTAAAGCATGACTTTAACCGAAGTAGGATTAAGTTGCAAGAAGGCTGAGAGGGGTCAAACTAATCTGTGCCTCAGATCTTTGAACACTTTGACTGTTGTTCTGAGTCGTGTCTGACTGGGGTTGTTGAGATTTTTAGAGTCGCTGGTTAGAGATCCCTAATGGTAATACTCAAAGTACTTCACTTTTTATCATTTTCACTAGATCTCATTGATTTATTCTTTCTCCCCTTTTACACTTTTACTTACCTTGATGCAATTCGATTGCCTCTTTGTTTGCTAATTTGATGTACCGCCACTTGGTTCTCTTCAGTGGGGGAAGGCTATATGTTTGTTTGCCTGTCTCTGTGATCAGTCTGTCAAGGGATTTGAAAACAATTTATTTTTTCTTTTCGGAATTCATGGGTAACATACTAATGGGTGTGACTATAAACTTATACGGAACAGTTATTGAACTGCACATCATAGCTTTCAATCGTCTGTATGATACGTTCCCGTTTGTTCCTGCTAAAATCAGCCACTGCTTACTTCATCTTGTACGTTATCAGTTAAGCAATTATAAATTGTGAATTCAATTTCAAGAAGAACGGAGGACTGTCGCAGTGTATTCTTCCGGGGTTTTTTTGATGAAATTGAATTGGTAGAGTACCAGATGGGTGATCTAGTTGATGCCAGATCTCAAGCTTGATGTGACTTAGAATTTATGTCAATTCTCCTCATCATCATTAGATTTCTTTGTCTTCTGAATGTTCACCATCTCTTTCTCATATTTTATTCATTTCTTATGTGGAAACCTCAATAGTTCTCTTGATAATATGATTGTCCATCGAACAGTTGGATGAATGATTCAAATTGTATTTTCCCGGTTAGATCTACGACGCATCAGTACACTAAATTAATTACCAGTACATGAAACTGTTTTCTCGCTGTGGTCCGCTAAGTAGATAGCATGTAGGTAAGACTGTTAGAAATTGAACAACTAGCTGGCTGGCACTGTTAATATTTTTGATATACTTTGTAGTCTTCCTGTATTCGCAGTGTTAAGTCTATTGAAATAATATAAATCATTATATTTGAAGTATGCTGAGTACAGAGTCATTTTTGTGTTTTAACCATTGTGAATAAATGGTTGAGTGGGACCTGGTAACTATGTGATAGAATCTTATCTACAGTTTACAAGAACGCATTTACTTCAATGTACAAGAAGTATTCATTAGGACTTCAGAGATATCTGGAAGTTCTGATTAGATTTCACTTGCTTATTTCCTCATAATTACTATCTGTTACACAGTTCAGAGTTATAGGGACTTCAGTTACTTCGCTTCGTTAGCTAAAGTGTTACTTGAAATAGACAGAAAACACAGACTGTGGTAGCATTCATCTCCCTTCTACCATCGTATCAACTTCAATCATCCTTGGATGTAAAAGTTAGGTTACTAACCAGAGCTAATTATAATAGTCTGACTTATGGAATGTGTCATCGCTGTTCGCATGTTTAACTGGAAGTTAACTTTTTCAATGTTTACCTACCTACTAGGAGGCTGCATTGCTATATTGTTGTTGAAATAATTCAGTGGGATTGCGAAACGTTCGTGATCAAATTTCAATTCTAGAAAAACACTATGCAACTGCTATTCTTAACCTCAATTACAAATATTTCGTAATATTTAAATTGATGGATCATGGCTGTATAGTGTTGGTAGTGGTGTATACTAATGGATCGCTAATGCATACTTTAGGTGTTTGACCTATCAGGTAACTTTTTTCCGCTTATACATACTATACATATGTGGTTTATAGATTACTTCATTCGTTCATTGTCTATTCTCCCTTGTTATCTGAACGTTTTACATCATTGTCTTTTTCTGTTTACTGCTTAAAATATGACAAAAAGCATATTTTATCCAAGGGATTTTTCACACACATCAATACAACTAATGTGTCATTATAGTCCACTACGTTTCTAATTGTGAACTTGCACACGTAATGTTAAGCTAAGCCAGATTTTTAGGTGATCTTATGATCACTATAATATCGACTGAGTGGTGAGTAGAAAATGAAATGATCACTGACCAATTAGGTGATTGATATAAATCGAAAGAAATCAAGGTCAAATTTACTAAGCCCACTTTCATTACTGTTCACTATGAACTTATCCTGTAGGCAAAAACGCATTGAAATTCAAGTCAATTTATCATCATCAAATAGACGAATCTCAAAAAAGTACAGAATTGTCTATTTATTATGTGTAAACGTCATATGTTGTTGTGCCTGAAATTCTAAACTTATTGAGGTCAACCATTTAAGAATGACAAGAAAGAGAGAGAGAGAAAGGAAAAAAATAAAGCATGAATTTGCACTTTTATAAGCAATGAATACGCAAATGAAGGAATAGTTTTTAGAATCATATTTATCTCATGTACTTTAGTGCATTTGTTCGTCTATATGTCAGTGGGTATGTCACAATCAGTCAACCATCAGAAGATAAAATTTCAGGAGTTCGCCTAACTACATAATTTTGTTAATACACATTTTGAATTTTGAATATTTACGATCATAAGTTGTTCATTGTCAAGATTAGATTTCTTCAGTGTGAGCGTAATACTTGGGCATTATAAATTAGTTTCATGTTATATTTGTTTGGCACACAGGACACAATCATGATGAAAAAGTATTATTTACTGGATGACAACGAGCATAAATTGTTATTCATAAGCTTGGTAAACAAATTCCGATGTTTATTTTCTATAATCCTATCCAGTTATTTGATCTACCAAATACCTTGTAATGACTGTAAGATGAAGTTCCTAGGTTAAATCACGGAATCGCAGTCAGTTAAATTGTCGGGAAACAGTAACTCTGTTACTATTACTATGCACGCACTGACGTAAGCATATAGTAGGATGTGACAGAATAACAGTTCTACATTGATAACTGAATCTTTGTTCATGGGACCAACACCCAACACAGGAAACAGGAATGACACAACTCCTATTCCGGAGAATTTTACTACTACTGAAATCACACTACCAGTTGATACAACTATGATAACCATGTGTTGGAAGTTACTTTATTATGTATATGATTGATAATTTATTCTTAAAGCGTTATCTCATAAGCAATAATGTCTTGTTGTGTGCTATGTTGAATAAACAAACCTAATATCGAACCGAATTTCTTCGTTGTTAGTCTAGTTGCTTGTCGGATAGTAGTCCATTTTGTATCTAGGTATCAGTTATTCCCTAATGTTCACAGAGAAATAACCAGCTAGTACAAAAATGTTTGCAATATGTATGTAGGGATGTTTTCTGAAAGCCAGTCACAAATAAAAATAGAGAATTTTGGGTTTTTACTCTGTCTGTATTCGATAGGTGAAAAATAATTTGGAATTAATCGCAAGCATAGATAGTTTGGTCATGCTAAGTTTACTCCATCAGAGAATAGTGTGTTGTGTTCATCTTTGACGATATGTATCGTTAAAGAAAACTAAGTGTAAATACACTTGGTATCACCTAGTTTGAACTTCTCCTGCTGCATTAGATATCTGACGTACTATTAGCCTAACATACTATCCAGAAATCTCAGTATGTTCGGCATGCGTCTCGCACCTATCAAATGTAAGATGATGCTTTAGGACTGGTCTACAACCACTCTCACTTTAATGATGGGGAGGGAATCAGTGGAATATATCTACCACTTCACTTACTTAGGGAGTTACATCAGCCCGAAACCGGCTGGTTACCGACGAAAACTCAACTTAGATACAAAAGGCCCACTTGGCAGTTGCTAACTTGCGTGACGGGAGGTGTCGACGCGATATCCGACTGCCAGTCATAAGACGAGTATACTGCACTGCAGTTCGTTCTCTCGCGTTATACGACTGTGAGGATTCCCCGTTAAGAGGGAAGACACGAAGCGATTACAGGGTTTTGATCATAGGTGTCTTCGTAGCATTGCTCACGTTTGGTGGAATCATCGTATGAAGAATGTTGAGGTTAGGCGAATGGTACTAGACAAGAAAGGCAACTCGATTGATGAGGGTGTGAACCTTCATTGCTCATCACGAGTCACCACCTAACTCGACGTACCATGCAAAGGGAAGTTGGATTAGGTAGGAAGAGGGTTTCGAGTGGCCAGACCAAGATGTAAAACCAGTCGATGAAGTATCTGACCATTGATCTCAGTCATGTGAGGAGATATAGACTGCCTGGTTAGGGTCCTCGCGACGAAAGGAATCAGTGGTTGATGACTCTTGGTGATATGGCTGCAGGTCGGTCACAATAATACAGATGTATTCACTCCTTGACATCTAAAAATTGAGTTTTCATACTAACCTTCATCTTCAGATTGTTCATTGTCTCACACAACTTTATCTTCCTTGATATCACTACTTTTCTATCCACCTGTTCTATGTGTACTATTGTGAAGTGTGGCAACTTGAGTCGATGCACCTCTGTTCGAGGTTTTACGTTGAGTTTGTCATTCCAGCTGTTTGATTTTCGAAAGCAACATATCAAAATACTGTGTATATCTTAATACTCATGGCTTTAACTCGTTTTTAGTGAAGCAGTGCTAAAGGTAAATGAAAGCTGGGCAAGTTTCACAAAATAATGGATGTACCAACTACAATTCGTAGGCACACCAAGTTGCTATGTACCTGATCAAATTTTTTTTGATTTTAGTGGAATTAGTCACATCCAGTTTGCAATATACATAAGTTAACTATTTAACCGCTGTGTCTCTAAACTTTCAATTTTTCGATTTAATTTGCATCATTTATTAACACTTCATCAATAAGTGAAAACTTACTTAGCGATGAGTATACTACTCAGAAGCGCGCTTTGTAGTCTTGGATGCATGTAAATGAAACATAGCCAATTTATAAGTGGGAAATTTGCAAAGTTTACAGCTTCTTGTTTGCCAATGCCTTCAAAACATCGCTCGTGTTGATATCATCATGGTAGCAGTATGATAGTGGGATGTAGGGTAAGTCACTTGTTGACGTTATAAACCTTCTAGCCCATCTACAGACTTCTGTAACTTGAGTAGTATTATGATAAACACTACTTGTGAGAATATAAGGTACAATATAGATGAATATCAGGGGATGCAAAAAGTGATAGTGTTGACACCATTTCATATAAAACTTCTAATTGTCATTTCAGGACTTGTGGGAAAATTTAGTCTTCCTGTGTGAAGTATACCCAATAACCATAGTTAATGATTGAAGACTTCTAACCCCAAATCGGTGGCACTAGTCGTAGATAGGTTCACACCATATCTACATCTTAACGTCTAAAGCCTTTGTTTCAACACATCTTGATGTCTAATCATAAAATTGTCTGTTTGTTGGTCAATTCACATGTCTCTTACTATTTGAACAGCGAAATATGTCATTTTGTCTAGAGTTGTATAGAGGTTTCAAGAGGTTTTCAAGTTAATGAAATGAATCGCATATTTTTAGTAAGGATTGACTATTGTTAATAAATGCATTAACGTCGATAATCTAAAGTTATGATTAAAGTTCACTGGAATGTCGAACTGTAAACTATTTACTTTATTTCATTCAAACAAAATGTAATTACCAAATAGATTATACCTTAACATTGATCCATCAGTGAGTAGCGTACACCAATCCTTCGTATTCTTGTTTGAATATGAGGAAAGCTATTTCATTGCTGTTCCAGTTCAAATGAATTAATACTAACTAAAGTGAGGGAAGCAGCCGTGGTTGACACTAAGGTAATACACAGAGATGGAGAATTCTTGTGATAGAATGTGACAGGCAGACAAAGTTAGTGTAGAACCTCGCACAAAAGCTTATCAGTTCGATTTGTCACATTTCACAACATCATGCAAACAACACATGGGTAGAAAATGAATGAAATTAGAGTAGAAAAATGTGTGTGTGAGAGATGAAATAATCTTAAACATGAAGGTTAGTGGAAATATTCAAGTTTCAGAAGACGTCGAAGAGTGAATATACCTAGACGATTGTGACAGATTTTCGGATATGTTATCAAGAGAAGAGTGTTCAATCACTGGTTTCTATTGTTTTGAGGACCCCAACCAGACAGGCAGCTTATACTACCTCCTTGTTCAGCTTAGATGAAGAGTTAGACTTCATAGACTTGTATCACGTGTTGATCTGGTCTTCATGAGCCTTCAGGCTAAGTCCTTCGGTTAGCACTGCACGTCGGGGTGGATGGTTACTTGACATGTGCAGCACATTTCCAACAATGTGAACATTTACTTGTCGCTTTCAGCCAAATAACCCGGTCACAGTATTCATTGATTGGGGGAATGTAAGGTTAATTAATCAGTTTTGTTCGCTTTCTTGGTTTCTGCTATATCCACATATCCTCTACTTGGTCATATTGTTTAACAAATAAGACTCATTCTAAACAATCAGGCTGCCTATGTACGTGGAAATCTGTATACAGTATTTTAGCTAGTAGTATGGAACTGAAGGCCACATTTTTGTTTGCTCTATATTACTATATTAATTATTGTCATATGTTTTCATACTTCAATCTTTATTTCTATTTTTACTTAACATTAAGCTTCTAATCCTAATTAGATGAAAAAAAGCTGACCTCAAGAAAGAATTAAAGATATCTTCAACGTCTATTCAGGCATTATATATATCATTATTTTTCAACTTCTGTCAATATTAGTATGTATTTAAAACTCAATACTGCAGATTAGTCAGTTGTCTATTGTTTATTCACTAG